TGAGACATCTTTTCTCACTCTTCCTTTGGGAAATAGCTTTTTTTATCTTAACCAAGATAGGGTTCTGCCGTGTGTCCCAGGATGTCCTTGAATGCTTGATCTTCTGGCCCCAAGTGCTGTAATTATAGGTACACCACCATTCCTAGCCCATTCATTTTCTACTTTTTAATCTCAACAAAGTTCTAGGTGAAGGTTCAGTGTAATGACGTATATAAAGGGCTTGGCACATGCTTAATAAAGGTTAGATAAAATGAACAGTTACCAATCAAAAGAATGGAAATTATTGTCGTCCCTTCTCGGGCAACCAAACAAACAAACAGAAAAACAAACAAACAAAAAGAGCTTTACTGAGCACACATTGTGAGCCACACATGATTTTGGTCTCTGATGCCCATGGACAAGCAAAGTTTCCAGTTTCTCAGATCTTAGAAGCATAGTGGAAAACATGCTTCTTCATTTAGCTCCTTCTATAGGGAGGCTACTGTGTGCTGGGGCCTAAGAACTGCTAGGAGACATTGTTAGGAAGGTGGCTGTTTCCAGTGTCCTGAGGACACTTGCACTGTTGGTGCCTAGACCAGTCCCTGACACACAGTAGTTGCTCCCTGAATGCTTGTTAAAAGAATGAATTTCTAAGCAGACAACTCCAAGTTGGAGGTCGAGAGCCAGGGAATAGCCTCTGTGATTTTCGTTTTTCTGTAGGCACAAATGCCCCATCTTGGCGAACACAGAAGAATCGGTCTCGGGCTGCATCTGGTGGGGCGGCTCTGGCCAGCCCAGGTCCAGGATCAGGCTCAGGGACCCCCATTGGGTCCGGGGGCAAAGAGCGATCTGAAAATTTGTCCCTGCGTCGCAGTGTGTCTGAGCTGAGTCTGCAGGGGCGGAGGCGCCGGCAGCAAGAACGCAGGCAGCAGGCACTTAGCATGGCTCCTGGGGCAGCTGACACCCAGATGGTACCAACAGACCCTGGAGACTTCGACCAACTGACTCAGTGCCTCATTCAGGCACCCAGCAACCGTCCCTACTTCCTTCTGCTCCAGGGCTACCAGGATGCTCAGGTTAGCCCTATCTCCCCTAGTCATAGAGCCACACCAGACATGGTTGGTCAACAAACCACACTACCAAGAATGCCTTGGGTTGAGGCCTTTTCCATTATAGTGGCAGTTCCCAGTAGGAAATAGCTTGTTAGGAGCTGAGGTGGAGGTCAGATACCAAGGTCCCATTTGAAGGGATAGCAATGCTTCCTTTCATTCAGAGGGAAAAGAAAACATGTTCTTGGTCAAAGGCCAGTCTATTGTCAAAAGGACATCCCTCACAAACATCTGTTTCTTCAAGGAAAGTCTGTGTCCTACGTCAGAGAAATCTTTGGTACCTAGATCCTTGTTCTGGAAATGCAGCTGTCTTGATGGGAGAAATCAGCTAATTCATTTATAAAGGTTCACATGGGGACCATCTGACCCCTTGTTGATGGAGGCAGGAGACACTGAAACCTGTGTGCATTTTTAAAAAATATTTACTTATTTATTATGTATACAGTATTCTGTCTGCATGTATCCCTGCAGACCAGATCTCATTACAGATGGTTATGAGCCACCATGTGGTTGCTGGGAATTGAACTCAGGACCTCTGGAAGAGCAGTTGGTGCTCTTAACCTCTGAGCCATCTCTTCAGCCCCACCTGTATGCATTTTTATTTTTGCAGTATTGAGGATTGAACACAGGCCCTTGCCCCTGCTGGCAAGTGCTCTGAGCAAAGCCCCGAAGCCTTCACTAGTGGGTTCCAGGCAGGCAGTGTACTGCTGAACCATTTTAACTTAGAGACAGGAGCTTCAATAGTTGCCCAAGCTGGTTTTGAATTTATGACCCTCCTGCTCCAGCCTCCTGAGTAGTTGGCCTGACATACCTGTGCCATCCAGGCCATGTTTCTGTGTATTACATATTTGAGTGCCACTAGAACATGAGCAGTAGGTTTATTTTATAAAGGGGGTCAAATGGTGCATCCATTTCTAAAGATGGAGGTGAGACCACTTTTAGACCAGAGTCGTCTGCAATGTATCTTTCCATTCAGGATGAAATAAGAAGGGTGCCTCTTTGAAGCATATATAGACATTTCTAGAAGAGCCCACCATCTCTGTGGCAGTCTCTGGAGAGAGCTTCTATTAATGGACAGGGAGAATCTTTGAAGAGCTCACAGTATTAAGCTGTCTCTCCAGCCCGTGAAGGGTCTTTTTTAAAGGGCAGAGCCAGGGCTAGAGAGAGCTCTACAGGTAAAAGCACCCACTGCTTTTTTAACTCCCATGTGGACTTAAAGACCAGAGTTATATCCCCGGAACCCACAAGGTGGAAGGAGAACACTAATTCACAAGTTATCCTTTGACATCTATGGGAACCCTGTGGCGCTGCTGCCCACTCCCCCTAAATTTTTACCCCCCAAAAGATGAAGCCACAGAGTGTCTTGGAAGAGGTTATTCATGTGCAAGGGATGCTCAAAGAGTCCTTTGAGAACCCAGGAAACCTCCCTTGAGGTTTTCATCACTTAGAGGAAGTGTGGTTGGAGCAAGAGTCTAGTGTGGTAAGGATGCT